AAAAATTCAATTGCTCATGTGACAAAATTATGAGAGTGGAATTTAATAGCCTTTCGTATTTTGGTTGAAAATTATGGCCCTACTAATATAGGCGTACGAAATTTAACATTAAAGGCTCTCTGACCAATAATAATATGGGTGGCCATCACGTATTTGCCAATAACATGCTGAAGGAAATATGTACACACAACACATATATGCACACGTGACAAATGAAAAATACACATGTACATAACATAAATTACTGTTTTACTTTCATGATTTAGTTCATTTTAAAAGGTAAAGAGATATGTACAAGATATGTGTAATAATTACTGTTACTTTTTTTATATAGTATTTATTACTGTAAAAAGTTTAAGAGTACAGTTTTAATTAAATATTTAATAAGTTTTATACAAATATATATATATATATATGTAACACATATATTAATTTTTATACTTACATTTAATGGATAAAATCCTTTTGAAATGTAAGTTAATAAATTTGAAGATAAATTGTTCTCAGCTAATTAAAATCCTTACTCTTTAATTTTTTATTTATTGTATATCAGTTTATGTGTATATTATATTTTCTTTAAAATCCATTTTTAACCAAATGGTCAAAATTAAAACCTTTGACCAATATAATACACACACGCACACACACACACGTGTTATTGTCTTTAGACAAATCAGTTTTGTTTTTTAGCAATAGCTTAACATCATCCATGACTTAAACATGACATCATCACCACCTAGGAATCGCTATCAGTATTATTACAGTAAGAACCTCCAGATGTTTTTTTTTTTTTTTTTCAAAAACAATATATGAAAAAATTCAAAAAAAAAAATAAGAAGAATTTCCAATATTATAATACAATTAAAAAAAAAACAACTAACCCAATTTTAATTCAATCCATTTGACGAATTCAATTGAAATATAATTTTATTTTTTAAAAAAATATTTTATTTTTGTAATAGAAAAAACTATTAATATATACATATTATTAAACGTACAAATAATAAATCAAAAAATAAAAATAAAGCAATAAAGAAACGTCATCCTCAATCCTTTTTATATGGTATGAAGAATATGAAAAACATT